TTCCCCTTTCTGTTTTGGTGGCACAAGAGAATTGAGCCCAGGGCCTTTGCGCTGAGCTATGGCCCCAGCCTTTTTGTTTTCTACTTTGAGACATGGTCTTACCAAGTCACTAAGTTGTCCAGGGTGAACTAGAATATGTGATCCTCCTGCCTCAGCCTCCCAGAGTTCTAGCATTACAGGAGTGTTGCCTCCGTGTTTAGCTGTTTTCCTTCACTTTCTGTTGGGCAGAAGTAGATCCACCCATGTCTGAGGAGGTGGGGAAATGCAGGCTCTGTCAGCTCGACACCGTGGCCCAGTAGGACATGTGTGCGTTGTTATGAGGCTGTGTAACTGTGTAGCCTATTCAGTGGGAGATGTTTGGAGACGAGCATTTTAGGAACTGCGAAGCCACAGTTTGATCCTGTTTTTTTCTTCCCATAGGATATAAACTTTGTAGTCTACTTAAGGACTGAGGCAAGTTCTAAATAGCCCTCAATTGGGGACACCCTCACTGCTCTCAGCTGTAGGCCCCAGGGAGTCAGCACGACCACCTGTCCTGAGGCCCAGGCTGGCCCAGGATTGGGCAGGGAGGGGAACCAGCAACTGCTCTACTGCTTGGTGCCAGGGTGTCACCCAGACTCTCCTGCAGGGTCACCAACTCTTTTTGCTTTTTCTGAGACCTTTCCAGTCTTAGTACTTAAATATCCCTGTCCCTAAAAACCTCCTCATCCCAGACAAACTAGGACAACTTACCTGGAATCGTCTTCATTTAAAATTTAAAGACTTTTGCTCAGGAAACCTGCTCAGTCCCTCGCAAACCGGGACACTGCCCCCCTTGCTGTCCTTCCAGAACAACCTTGGAGGCCATGGCGACATCAGCTGACGAAGAAGGAGCTTACCCCAGGCTTTCTATGGAGAGAAAATGCCAAAGGAGCTTGGGATTGTTGTGAGCAGGGGAGGAATAGACATGGCCCATTTTCCCGCAGTGAGCGCATGCAGGGGAGGGGACAGTCTATCAGCGGTCACAGCAGCTGTACCCTCTGTTCCCACACGAGGGCAGGTGGCACATGGTTCCTGCCAGCTGCTGCTATCTGTGTGGGAGATTTTCTGCAGGAGCCTTGCACTAAAAGAGTGAAGTCTATCTGCCTTCATGATTAGAAGGCGGCCATACATTATTTCCCTGTTGGTTTCATGTCGGTGACGTAATTAGCTGTGGACAGGTTTGTCCAGGGATGGTTCGGTTTGGTCCCCTTGCGTTATTTCTGTATGCTGACAGCTCACTGAGATCAGTTATTGTGAGTCACACTGTGCTTCGTCATGGAGGGGCCTGCAAGGGTTTCTCCTCTGTCACAAGCAGGCATCCCCATGGATAGAACGGGGAGAATCCATGGTGGAAGAGGCCAGGTTGAGCCAGTAATGAGACCCCGGGCTCTCTCACCAATGGGCAGCCCAGAGGACCATCGGCAAGCAGCAGGACCTCAGCCAGCAGGAAGAGGCGTCTTTGCCACCTCTGAAGGTTGATAGTAAGAAATGGACAAAGTCACATTTCAGAGGGACCAAGGCCTAGGGCAGGTCCACAAGGAAAGTACAATAAGCACAGCTGGGCAGAAGGTCAGGGCGTGTGCAACGCTTTAGGGAAGGGGCAGAGGGGCCCATTTCTTGGGAGAGGAAGGTGAGGAGATATGGGGCTGACCTGCCCCAGTTTTCCAGGCTTTGCCCACTTGTGAGAGCAAATGGAGTCATGGGTGCATCCGGGCCTCAGAGGCACTGGCTGCTAACTGCCCTCTGATCATCCGGTGTCTCAGCACCTCCTCCCCAAGCTCTCTGGGTGCAGGGGTCTTCTGGGGACACAGCCAGGCTGCAAGCAGTTTGGGGGGGTGCCGTGACCCCGATCGGTTCAGGGTCATCTGTGTGCTGCCTCGGTCCCGGGTTCTAGAGTGTCTTGCATGGCTAAACCACGGCCCGCAGTACCCCGGGTCTGGGGCAGGGGGCTGCAGGCCGAGGCTCCTCAGTTCTGCCTCTCTTGTCCTCTGAGGCCTGGCGCCGCTCGGGTCTGGAGTTTTCCCAAAGGGCTTCTTCTTTCAGATAAGGGACACGAAAGCAATCTGCATGTCAGCCAATGTGGACAGAAGGCCAAAGAGGTCACAGGCCCTCCAGCTCTGGCACGGTTTGGACCTGGCCAGGAGCTCATCTGTAATCTTACCCCTGCCCCCCAATGCCATGGAGGCCCTAGTTCACTGTAAAGAACATCTTTAAGGAGTATAAAATGGGGTCCTTTGTTTTAGGTTTTGGAACCCTTCTTTTTTATTAATTCATAATCGTCACATACAGTGATCACATTCATCATAGGGACTTTGTTCCTGTATATATCTTACTTCTTCTTTCTTTGGCATTCCTCTCCCCTCCCTTCAACTCTTCTTTCCTTCTTCATTCACGAAAGTTTTCTTTCCATTTCCCTTCTCTTCCCCCCGCACAACTTCCTTGCTCCCTCGTTCCCCTTCCCATATGAACACGTAGAATGGGGTGCTTTTGAAGATGCTCAAAAATGTCATCACAGCCGATTTGAATTAAAAAATGTTGGGGGAAAGTGAATCCTTACATTTGGAATAATTAAAACCTAAAAAATGATGGAGCAGTTGTTAAGGCCCCCAGAGGATCCTATGAAATTCCACTGAGTGTAGAGAGATTAGCACTTTACTCTTCTCCCTCTCCATCCGCCCGCTCTGTGCATTTGTGATTCTCTCTCTTTGTAATACTTAGGGTTGAACCCAGGGTTTTTGTACTGAGTTATAGCAGTAACCCCTTAAAAAATTTTTTTTTAAATTTTGAAATTTTGAGACAGAGTCTTGCTAAGTTGCTACATTGCCCAGCCTGGGTGTCTTAGATACTTTCTCGTCAGTGAGACACAACCAGCACCCACAACTTAAAGGAGGAGAGGTTTATTTAGCTCCCAGTTCGTAGAGGTTCCAGTCCATAGTTGGCTGGCTCTAACACAAGGCAGCACGGCAGAGGGCCACGGAAGGGAGGAATTACTCAGGGGCTGGCAGGCAGGAAACAGAGAGGTCAAGGGAGGAGGGAAGAAGACGGGCCCTCCAGGCCATGCCCCCAGTGACCGCTTCCTCCAACCAGTCCTTACCTCCAACACTTTTATCTGTAAGCTCATCAGTGGACAAACCCATTGACAAGTATCACAATCCAGTAATCTGATCACCTCCCCGAAGCTCCACCTATCTAGATAGACCCCATAGTGAGGGTTTATTCCTCTTTTGTTTCATGCAAAATAGTGCTATGGATGTAGCCAAGGAAAAGAAAATATTGGGCAATTGTTTATTTTTTATATAGCTACAGTTGTTCTGAGTATACAAATTTATAAGGTATCTTTCCACTTAACTTATTGTAGCCTCTTATAAAGCTAAGAAGATGTTGAGAAAAAAGACAGCTCCTGGAAACAAAATCAGGCCAAGGATGGGTGCTACCGAAAGAGCAATCTTGGCTACATCGCTGTGCTAGAGATTAGATTGGTGGCTCTGGTTTGTGAGAATATCTGTGTTAGGTTCTAGATGGGACCTTCCTTGGGTCATTTGGGACTTTGTGGGACTTAAAGACACTGGTAAGAAAAGGCAGAAGAAAGTGTTTTAGCCTTCACATTATCCATTTCTGAGTTTCCTGGGAGCTGATGATCTCTCTCCTGCCCAGATCTCTCGGGGGAACCTTAGTGTTGCTTTGCCGACTGTGTGTCAGGACTCGACATTGGCCATGACCTTTGAACGAGCGAGTGCTGAGTTTGCTAATTGTGCCCTTTTCTTACTGATCATTAAGGGACAGCAGAGTGACCTGGGGAGCTCTGTTGCATGTAGTTGAGGCATGTGCGAAAGAGGTTGAGCTGACCTGGCCACAATTTCCTGTGCAACAGTGGAAAATGAGGAAAGAGCTGTGCTTTGTAATTGTGTTTTCTTTTTTATTAAGAAAAAAAAATCATTCATGCTGACCTAAACTAAAAGACCTAGGTCTTCATCACCAACCCCTGGGTCAATTGCCTCCTAGACTTGAGTAGCCAAGCTTTCCAGCTTACCTAAGAAGGATGTGAAGTCCTTACAGCCCTGTGGATGTGACTCTCCTACCAGCATCTATCCAGACCTCATGACCAATGCGGTGAAGTTCTTTCTGGTTGCTAAAGAACTAGGCCAACCTAACCAAGCTGGCTTGGGGGTATAGTTCAGGAAAAAGGGTGAATATAATTTCATCTTTTTTCCTCTCTTGTGGGTGCATAGGAATTAATTAGAGTTCCTAGAAAATTATTCCCTTTTGCTCCAAGTAATGTCAGGGTTTCCACCCAAGTCCTCTGTGAATAGGGGCAATTTGACTGGATGCTAGGGCAGGGTTGTTGAACCTGGAGATGACAACCATGTACTTTTTTTTTTTTTTTCCTTTTGGTTCTGGGGATTGAACTTGGGTCCTTGTGCTTATGAGGCAGGAGGTGGAACCACTGAGCTAAATCCCCGGCCCCATCCAAGTACTTTTGATTCTCTGAAAGGCATCAGTCAGCCTGGGCTCCAGGCCTTAGTATCTTCGTCTATCAAGTGGGAATGAAATGTGTTCATTCATTTCCATCAGAAAGTTTTAGGGGAATTATTTAAAGACCATCTTTCAATGTTCTGAGTCACTCAAGTGGAAGGATATAAGGGAATTTTTGAGAAGAAGTCCGTTTAATATGAGTTAAGTCACCTCCTGTGTTATCTAGATAAGACACAGAATGATCTTTAGGTATAGGAGACCCGTCTTTTAGAAAATAGCCGTGACTCATTTCCATTGATTGTAATGCATGTGTGGGATGATTCTTCTCGGCCCTGCTCTGAGGTTTCACCAATGTTTGAGGCTCATTGTGATGGAAAGATCTTTTTTTACATTGCACACTTTTTTATGTCACATGCTGGATGTATACCTCCAGGTAAAAACCATTGTGTTCATGTGTAGTTTCTCATAAATTAAACATGTCTTTTTTTTGTTTTTTTCCCCTGTAGACAAAACTGTGTGGAGTTTTATCCCATATTCCTGATTACACTGTGGATGGCTGGATGGTATTTCAACCAAGGTAATCAGAGAGTACACAGTTCTGATGATGACCATTGTGCTTTAAAACAATTGAGGAGCAGATAGGTGCCCAACAGCTACTGATCCTGGCAATGATTTTTAAACAAAATGAGCAAATGTCTACACACATTTCTGTTGCAGATATGCAAACTTGGGCATCATTGTGATTTAACTCAATAATAATTATTAAAAAACTTGGAACAAACAATATGCTGGACACTTGATAACAATCACATGAATGTAGTCTTCAACTTAAATCATATAATTCTAATTTAACCCAAGGAACAGAACACAGAATTAACAATGATCCTTAATAATTGAGCACTTACTATGTACCAGGCACTAAAGATTCTTAAGGTTTAACTCTCACATTTAAGATTTTAAGATTTAACCCTATTATATGAAATAAAGTTTAATAAATTCCTACTTTACAGATGTCAAAGCTGAAGGCTAGAGAGGTTAACTAATTTGTCTAACATGACATTCACCAATGCAAGTAAGATTTCCCTTTCAAATACACAGCAAGGTCTATGGGTGTTTGTCCCCAAGCCCGTGTACCATTCTTTAAGGGTCTGCAAAGATGTAGTACCACTATCTGTGGCAGTTCCATGGGCAATTCCTCTTCACCTGAGCGAGGTATCGTTGGTGAGCTGAGGGCTTTCTTCTAACTTTGCCTATCCACTTCCCAGGGAGTCAGACCTGCATCAGCTACCTTACTTGGAGAAATTTAATTCTCTTTTGTTTCTGGTGACTTTCATGGCCTCTTTTTTTTTTGGTGGTACCGGGGATTGAACTCAGGTCCTTGAGCTTGCAAGGGAGGAGGCGGAACCACTGAGCTAAGTTGCCGGCTCAAGGCCTCATTTGGATCTGTACTCGATTGCTGAGATTTAAACCCAAATCCAGCTGCTTCTAGAGGAAATGCCATCCATCTCTTTCGTGTAATTTTTACTGTCACTTAAGGAATTTCAGGTAAAATGACCTTTAAAGAAAGACCTTTTAACTTTATTTCAACTCACACCTTTGTTCCTTAATCTCATAAATGAAAGTGGCTGTTCCTTGTCACATAAGAGCATATTAACAACTAATAAGAAAAGTGCCTTTTGACAATGGGATCCCATTTCTGACACTTCACCCTTTCGGCTTCCACATGATGGGCTACATATGGCCGGCTCCTGGCGGGAAAGGACTTCTTGGGTATCTTGTCATAATTTTCTTTTCATTTTTTTCTCTGGCAAAGTAAGTTGCCAATTAGCTTTCTTTAGCATCCTCATTGGCTTTGTGGGAGTAATTCAGTAGCTAGGGACAGTAATTATCAAATCTGAGAGCATGCATTTTAATTTTTGTTTAGTTGGTGCCGGGGATTGAACTCAGGACCTTGCACTTGTGAGGCAGGTGGTGGCACCACTGAGCCAAATCCCCAGCCCCAAGAGCATGCATTTTAGAACTTCCTTAGATGCTAGGTCACTCTGCTATTTCATTGCCCTTCAAGACCCTGGCTGTATTGGTCAGCTTTTTGTTGCTGTGACAAATATCTGAGGAAAATCAATTTAAAGGAGGAAAGATTTATTTTGGCTCATGGTTTCAGAGGTCTCAGTTATGGTGATCTCGATCCACTGCCTTTAGGCCTGTGGTGAGGCAGAAACATCATGGCGGAAAGGGTGTGGCTAAGAAAAGCTACTTACCTCAGGGCAGCTAGTAAGCAGAGAGAGAGCAGTAAAAGCCCCTAAAAGATGCACCTTTAAAAGCACACTCTTAGTGACCTACTTCCTCCAACCCTTTCATAGCTCATTTGGCTGTCAACCAACAGTGAGTTAATCCACTGATGATGTTACACCCTCACCTCTCCAAACTTCTCCTCATTCAGTCAAGTTGACAACTGAGGTTAACATCATACCCTCAGGAGGTCTTCCATGAACCTTTTTTTTTAATTAATTAAGTTTATTGGTACATTTTAGATATATAATATGATGTCATTCATCATTGGGAATTTGTACCTTTACATGATGTATCTTGGTTCTTATATTTTTTCCATTCCCCTGCCCTCCCTTCAACCCCTCCACCCCTGCCTATTTACAAAGACTTTGTCTCTGTTTTTCATTTTCTCATATTTTTTCCTTTCCCCTACCCTTCCCACTTCCCCTTCCCCTTTAGCCCTTTTCTATCTATTTCACATTATCTATTATACATTTTGATCCTTATTTACACTTTCAGTTTCTCACACCAGAGAACTATCTGGTATTTACATGTGTGTGTCCTGTTTATTTCACTTAAGAGGATGGCTTCGATGTGTATAGTCATTTAGCTATGCATGTCTCCAGTTTCCCCTGAGCCCTTTCAAAAGCCTCCTCCAGCTCCCCTCTGTGCCACCCTCTTCAGTTCTTTCATGGCGCTCTCAAGTCTGGAATTTTCTTCTCATTTTTTTCTGTTTGTCTCTGATGAGAGAACATAAACTCTAGAAGAGCAGGGAGCTTGTGTCTTTGTTGTTTTAGCCCAGTCCTCATAATAATACCTGTTTTATAGAAGAAATTAAACTATCTTCGTGGCCAAATGGAAAATGAATTTAACTTTAGCGCCTATCAGTCTCAGACATAGAATCTAAATATTTACAGAAGGGCTTGCATCTGTGAGGAGGGGAGGAAGACATTGGTATTTTTACTGATAAGGATGGCAGAATTTTTTTTTTTTTTTTTGGTTTGGTACCAGGGATCTAACTCAGGACCTTGTGCTTGTGAGGCAGGCAGAAGAACCGCTGAGCTAAATCCCTGGCCCAATAAGGATGGCAGAATATTATATCAAAGCTTATACTTCTTTCTTTCTGAGATAAAATTTGCACCCAGTAAAAGTCCCGGGTTTTAAGTGTTTGATGAGGTTTTGGGGAAGCATACGCACCCGTGTGTCTGTGCTTTCAAGCCTTAGTAAGATGCCACTTAGTAAATGGCTGTCACTGGGTTTCCTCCTGCCACTCCCAGTCATCCCACTCCTGCTTCCCTCCAGATACAAACACTGTTCTCTTTTCTCATCATTTAGCTTTTTGTGTTTCAGAACTCTGCATAGTTGGAACTGTACAGTATGTATCCGTGTAATGCTTCACTCAGTTAGCGAAGTGCTGTTGAGACTCACCACGCTGCTGGAGTACCTGTTGCTGAGTAGCATTCCACTGAGTTCCCTGTCTTAGTTATTCCTTTTCCTCATGATAGACTTCTGGGCCATTTCTAATTTTTGGCTGATTGTGAATAAAGCTGCAATTAACATTGCTGTACTCAATGAACTCTTCTTACAGAGATGGTTTCATTTTTCTTGGGCAAATACAGTGAGTCCCTGACTTACGGACAAATTCTCTTCCAGAAGAATTATTTGTAAGCCAAATTCATTCAGAGCCAACAAAGTGAGTCTTACGCAGTACATCGGTGAAAGTTTGCAATTCAAATATTCGTTAAATCAGGGACTCGCTGACATAGAAATGGAATTGTTGGGTAAGATGATGTTTGGTTTACAAGAAATTACCAGAACTTTTCCCAAAGTAGCTGTTCTATTGTGGCAAGCTTAACTGTGTCAGCTCAATTGGTCTAGGAGAGTATTAAGCACACTTTGGGATATGTTGTGGAAGCCTGACCTTGGGTCTGTCTCTTTTTCCTGGCCTCTTCCGCTCTGGCTCTGTTCCCCTGCTCTACTTCCCAGCCACCCCATGGGCAAGGCATTCTTTGCTTCGCCATGCTCTTACGCCATGATGTTCCTACCTCGGAGCTAACCACCCATGGACTGAATCCCCTCAAACTGTGAGCTGAATTAAACCTCTTCTCAACTTGTGAGTGTTGGGTATTGCGCCTCTGTGACACGAGAGCTGATGGATGCAACTATTTTACATTCCTGCCTGTGACCGATGAGGGTTGCAGTTGCTCCATATCCTCACCATTTTATAGTGCTAGTCTTTAAAAATTTTAGCCATTCTGGTGGCTCTGTAGAGTTATAAGTTTTAAGTGTCACTCTGCTAATGCTGAAACTCATGGAAACATTTTTCTTGTGTGTGATTATTGACACATTTGTGTATCTTCAGTGAATTGTCTATTCCAACATTTTGTCCTTATGAAAAGCTAAGTTTTAAAAAATTGAATTGTAAGTGTTCTCTGTACATTCTAGGTTACAAGCATTGTGCCATATACACGTGTGGTCATTATTTTCTCAGTCTCCATGCTTTACTTTGAAAGAGTGCTGTCATATTCTGTATCTTTTCTTCTCCCCCTTCTGCAGTTGCTGCAGCTTGTCTGGGGCTGGTGTACATGTACAGCCGTCAGAAGTACTTCTGGGGATATTCAGAAGCTGCTGAGAAAAGGTAAGAGAAACCCAGTAATGGGGATTAGTGCAGGACGTAGCAGGGTGAAGTCTGGCGTAGTTTTCTGCCCCTCAGAAGTATTACGAAAAGCACTGTGAGCCATGGTGGAATAGGGACCCATGTTGCCTGAGGCCAACTCTTGCCGGGCCAGACAGGTGGGAGATGGTGATACACAGGCATAAAACTGTGCACTGAGCCGGGTGTGCTGGTGGATGCCTATAATTCCAGCACTGTGGGAGGATGAGGCAGGAGGACTGCAGGTTTGAGACCAGCCTAGGCCACTTAGCAATTTAGCAAGACCCTGTGTCAAAAAATTAAAAAAGGGCTGAATTTGTAGTTCAAGGCGAAGGCCCTGGGTTCAACCCATACAAAACAACAACATAAAAATTGTGCCCTGCCTGTGTTCATTCAACCCTAGGAATAATTTCCCAGTGCCTAGGCACACACTTTCATTTAGGTGGTGAACCCACAATTTTAAATGGTCGAAGCAGGAGTTCTGGGCCGTGTCAATAAGGAGTAACCTGTGCCCTGTCTCCCAGCTTCCTCATTACAGCCGGCTTGTCACTCCTGTCCCTCTTGTGCCCCGCAGGGTCAGTGGTTTCCTGTTGAGCCTGGGGACTTTGGCGTTGTTGTGGGTCCTCAGCGCCCTGGGGATAGCGAACAGCTTTCTGGACGAATACCTGGACTTCCACGCTGCCAAGAATCTGAGGCGATACTTCTAACCTTTTCTCTTCCCTTCACTTTCATGTTTGCGGAAGCTGTTTCCACTCAGAAGGTAACAGCCGTGTCGCTGGTTAAATACAAATATAAAGTCTTCCGTTTCATTTTTCCTGAGATGGCTTTGTGGAAACACACGCTGTAGGGAGCCTTTCCTTTGCGTATGAGAGCAGGATGGCGGGGGTGGTCCATGCCTGTGGTCAGCGGTCGCGCACGGTGATCCGGGTTCAGGTCGCTTTTGTGGGGCCCGGGCAGCCTGACCTGTGTCTGACCTGCCTCAGAGACAGCTTCTGTCTCGGTGGAAGGTTCCGAACAGACGCAGGGAAGGCAGCCCCCTCTTCCCCGGCGCTGGTGCTGGGAGTGGCGGAAGCCAGGCAAACACACCACCTAGCCAGAATCACCAGCAAACGTTAGAGGCAGATCGGGCTGCCAAGACGTACTTTAGAAAGAACAAAGGAAAGAAATCGTGTCATTCCGAGGAGACCCCAGGAGCAGGGCTCAGTGAGTATTCTCGCCCCTGGGCAGAGGAGGTGGGGCCTGCTGATGGTGGCAGATCTGGACCGGACTTCAGGGAAAGTCTGTGCCCCACTGGCTGGAGGCGAACCAAGATGGGCCACGTGGCTGTCTCAACTCTGAGGTGCAACCCTGTCCAGCACAGTGCAGTTGACATTCCTTCATTTTCTTCATCTGTAAAATGGGAATGAATCTACGTACGTACAGCCTTCAGAGACTTTAGGGATAACACCAGGAAAGGCGCCCCATCATTATTTCCGGAGAAAATCAAACAGCTTTGAATCTGGTGTGGGCATCTTCAAGAAGCTGTTTAGTGAGCCGGCTGGGGACGGTGGGGATGGAGGCAGTTGCAAAAGCTGTGGGTAGTAGGAAAAGAAAAGGGATGCATCTAAATGCTAGTGTTTCCAGAGTAGAGGAGGAAGACATGTCAGCCCCCCAACCCCATTCCAAAGAGCAGCGTTCAACAAAAGTGCGGAGAATGTAGCGGTCTGGAAGGACAGTTGGGGGCTGTCTGACTCTGGTCAAGGCCGTCATCAGTAAGAGGTCATGTGCAGACTGGTGGAGACTCCAGGGCCAGACCGCCCTCCCCCGTCCCGCCACCTGCTTCGTAGCTCTGGGCTCCATCTTCTCTTGGACAAAATGGGCTAATATGTGGTAAAATGCTGCGACCCTCTTTCCACTTGATATTCTTGTCCATTATGATGCCGACTGGATCCTCACACTGTGAGGTGTTCCCCAAAGACGAGAGAGTGCAAGCTTTGGACCCTACAGCACGATCGGTACAGAAGCCTGTCCTTTGGAAGCAGGAAAAACAAAAGCAAAAACCCTTCCAAATCTGACACTTTACAACTTTTAAAGAAGTTCTATTCTTATACTTCAGCATTTTTAAAGCACCTAAATTGGTCTGATAGACAACATTTAGAAACAGGCAATGCTTATACCCCATCAAAGCTTTGTATCTTTAAACATTACAAGGCAATTTGTTTCCTTTGTTCTAATTCTTGTGTCACCAGGCAACCTCTTGATTATTTTATCCCTATATTAGATTTGGCCACAGGGAGCAAACATGTGGCCAAAGGGCTTTGAGCTTCCGATTGATCTGGTGGTTGTACATACATATTTCTTTTGCATATTAGTAAATTGACAAATTTTATTTTTAGAAATCAGATTCACTTCCTAAAAAAGTCAGTGTCGTGAAAGAAGGGACAGAGAATTTTTCCTCTGTTAATGGAGTCTGAAGAGGCATAAAGACCAAAGGGCAGCATGAGATCTTTGATCAAATCTGAGTTAGGAAAACCAAGCTTTAAGGGCCGGGGATTTAGCTCAGTGGCTCTGTCGCCTGCCTCGCAAGCATAAGGTCCCAAGTTCGATCCCTGGTATGAAAAAAAAAAAGGAAAAGAAAAACCAAGCCACAGAGTGCACGTGTGAGACAACTGCGGTGGTTTGCATATGGAGTGAGAAGTAGATACTAGGGAATTCGTGTTAATAATGGTGGCCAGGGAAGAGAATGTCCAGATTCTTTGAAGCTGCAAGGCTGAGGCATTGGGGTGAAGTGGTTGGGTGTAAATGATTTTGAAATGGTCCCACAGGTATGCATGTGAAACAGTTGTGGAAAGCATTTGTGATGATTAAATCCAGTTGGTTGTGTATAGGTGTTCTTCCCACTGTCCTGATTGCTTAAGAAGGTGCATAGGAAAAAGCCAAAATTTATAAGAGAAGTTACAACCCTAAATCAAGTTTTGGGGGAGCTCCCCTGTTTCTTGTGTTGCACATGGGAGGTCTGGAGGTGGCATACATGCAGTCGTGGCCATTCCTGTGGGCCTCTCTCTGATGTTCTGGCCGTGGTCAGGGACTCTGGGCCTCGAGTGTGCAGAAGCTGTGGTAATGTCCTCCTTATGTTATGGGGAATGAGACAGGTACCCGTGGGAGCTTGTCCACAGGACACCAGTATGGGACTCACACATCCTTAGAATGTAACAAAGAAGAAAAGACTGAAAACAATCCAAAGAAAACGAAGCTGGGTGTGGTGGTGCGCGTCTGTAATCCCAGCACTCCGGGAGGCTGAGGCAGGAGAATGGCAAGTCCCAGCTCAGCCTGGCAAGTCATGGAGACCCTGTCTGAAATAAAAAATAAGAAAAGGGTTGGGGATATAGCTCAATGCAAAGGCCCTGGGATTAATCCCCAGCAACCAACCAACAAACAACAACAATAGGAAAAAAAAAACACACACACTTCTCATACAAATAGCAAAGAGTATTCAAAGAGGTATTCTTGTTCTCAGGCAGTTTTCCCCCCTACTTTTCAGGGTTAAAGTTAGTGGGATTTGACAAAAAAAGTCATTCATAAGCAAAAATATCAGCTCATTTGCATCTGCCCCCTTTGACATGTCCTTTATAGTGTCTGAGATTACAGACATGAAATCATCTTAGAGGAGAAAGCTGTCCATTCACCCAGTTCATTTTAATCAGTCAGAAGTTCTCAGAGCTTCTTGCTTTTATTCCCAAGGATGGCTTTTCAGTGCCTTCCCTCTGCCCTGAATCAGTTCACTTTTCTGCCCACATTATCTAGTAGAGCCCCGAGCCCACGTCACAGGGACCAGACCCATTGTCACACTGCTTTCTCCACAGTGTTCTCTGCCAGCCAGACTAGACCGACTGCTCGCCGGGCAGGGCCAGCCTCTTCCGTAAGCTTATTTCAACTCTTGCTAGGTGCATATTAAAACTCAGCTTCATTTTGGATCCTTTTTTTTATGCTGCCTTTATTCTTCGGTCTGTTTCTCAACTTAACCCAGATGGTTTTGAGATATGTTGTCTTACTGTGCTTTGTAAAGTCTCACGGGGATCTACTAGACCGACTGCTCGCCGGGCAGGGCCAGCCTCTTCCGTAAGCTTATTTCAACTCTTGCTAGGTGCATATTAAAACTCAGCTTCATTTTGGATCCTTTTTTTTATGCTGCCTTTATTCTTCGGTCTGTTTCTCAACTTAACCCAGATGGTTTTGAGATATGTTGTCTTACTGTGCTTTGTAAAGTCTCACGGGGATCTTAGGACAGGTCTCCCGCGGAAAAGGGGAAGCAGGCCTGAGAAGGGGGAGGAGCTATGCCAGGTCCAGCCTCTGTCTGATCTGTCCGGAGCATACATTTTGACTTGATTTTCCCAGACAGGTAAACCGGCTCTCACCAGCCCGCGCCAGTGGAGGGCTGTGGCGCTGCGGACACCTTCCACTCTGGCGGTGGATACAGGCAAAGCTGGCTGGGTCGTGGCTTTGATCCATGCAGTGTGGGCTGGGAGAGCTGAGGCACGCGAGGGAGTGGGGTGTTACTAACTGCCTCCACTGTAGGGCAAGACCTCTGCGTCACAGCCCTCCACGCTCCACCCTGACTTTTCCCCCAGAAAAATCTCCTCCTCATCTAGTTCCTGGATCTCTGAATGGGCCAGTTGGCAACTGAATTGCTGTGGCCCTCAGTATGTCCCCTGCAGAGTAACGGCCACACCTCTGAGTGCCCAGCAAATTTAGAAAGTTTCAATTTGCTTGAATTAAAAGGGCTGAGAATGACTGATCTCCACGGCTACAAGTTTAAATCCCGCCATGAACGTTTTGAGAAAAGAACCACGATGATTCTGTTAAATCCCAGGAACAATATATCTGCTTAATGAATTTTGGAGACTAAAATGAAGATCCTGAAATGAGGTACACCCTGGATTGATTCAGATAATGGTCTTTTATTTTTTTTTTTCTTTAAAAGTGGTATGTCAACATCACTTCATTTCTACATTTCAGAGTTCTGTACATGTCTTAAAAGGAAATAAGCAATGCTCGATGTACAAAGTAAAAACAGAAAACTAGAAAAATCTGAATAAAATGGAGCAAGTTGCCATAGATCATACAGTACAAATTAGTAATTAGATGTTGCCTGAAGTGCGATACCACTGCTGTGATGATGAGTTAAGGAATGAAATAAAAATACTCTATTTTAAACAAACAGTATATATATATTTATATGTATTTTTTTTACAGATAGTAGACCCAGTTGTATCTGCAGTATTGTAAAAACTTATGTACAAATAACTTCTTTTAGACATTACATATACATCAGCACCGTAGTAAAAACAAAACAAAACAACCTTATTAAAATCTACCTCTCTATGAGTTGGTCCCAGTACTGACTTGGAGGCAGCTTGGAAAAGATAATGCAACCCCTCTCTCTCTCAGCCACCTCCAGTTTCTTATCATTGCTTATACATGTATTTCCAGACCTTGCAGGCAAAGGTAATAATTTTGTATTCTGTGTTTTCGCCTTTACTTTTTGGTTTTCACCTGTTTTCCTGGTGGCATCCCTCCCCACTGATAAGAATTCATAGTCACCTTGCCACCACTCTTCGGAGAGGGCACTCGGCCCATTATCCCAGTATTTCTGGCCTCAGTCTCTGCCCACATTAGGCAGGTCTAGAACCTGGGGCTGGTGGAGAGCAGGTCAAAGGCAGTGCCTGCCTTCTGCTTCCCATGGGCCTGACTTGCCTGGAGTGCAGCCAGTCCACCCTCCAAGCTCTGGTCTTCGATGAGCTGTGTGTGTGTGTGTGCACAGACCGAGCCAGCATGTCAGACTTGGAGGGACATGAGGGAGGAAAACACTTGCTACTCACACTCAGGACAGTAGTTATGTCACACAGCCTCCGAAATAGGACCGCGGGAGGGAAAGCAGACTCCAGGAGACCAGCTGATTACACTGGCAGCTGCTGGCTCCTCCAGACAGATTTCACGAGGGCGGATGTGAGTGATTGACAAATACAAAGAGAACAACTGTACAGAACGTGTGAGGTGGATTACTTTGCCCTTAGGAAAGAAACCAGGTCTTCCCCCTGTTATCACCCAAATTTGTATGGCAGAGCTATTGATTTTTCTGTTCGTCCACCTCTGGGGTTTTATATTTGTCTTTCTGATGACAGGGATGACGAACACGGCCAATTTTAGAGCAATCACCCCTGGGGTTTTCCCATAGGGAGCCCAACCTGGTGCCCTCTAGGCCCTTATCCGGGAGACCCACAGTTCCAAGCAGAGATGCTCATTCAACTCTATGTGTGTTGCCTCTGCATTCAGGCACTGTCTCAGTTCTTGCACTGGTGTTTACTCTGCCCAAAGCCTCTCTTCTTGGAGAGTCTGGAAGGACAGGCAAAGGCAGGTGGGACTGGGAAGGGAGGTGCTGGCCGGCAGACACAGAATGCAGCAGAGGTCTCTCCATCCCATCACTATCAGAAGCAGAAAACCACCTGGATGGATCATGTTCTAGAACCCGGGAGGCTCCAGCCCAAACCACAAAGATAGCTACCACAGCCTCCAGTGCAGGGCTGTCCCCAGGACTGGGCCTTCTCTAGCTTAGCTGGCTCTCCTTGTGGGTGGCAAGCAGCCATACCACACAATGCCTGAGGGCCATCACAGGCAGGGAGACCAGCCTGCAGGATCCTTGGTTGTCTTTCTGGGACCGGCTTGCTGTTCCTCCAATACCAAGCAAGTTTGGAAGCAGACACCTCTTTCTACCCAGATTCAGCGCCTTTCCGACCTGTGCCCGTGGCCTGTGCCATTGCCCAGCAGCCTCTAGGAGCATCTCCTTGGCTGAGGCTCTCTGTCTCCTGTCTCCAAATCTACAGTGCCCGGGCCTGGGGCAGGAGGGCCGGCAGTTCCCATGGGCCGGAGCAGCTCTTGCTGGGCCAGGTGATCCCAAGGGCCGCTGAGCAGAGGGGCTTCAGTTGCTGGCGTCTTCCCCACCTGACCCCTGGGCCGCCCTCTCTAGGAGCAGGAACCTGCAGGATGTCTCATCTTGATGGCTGTGTGAAAATTAGGTGCACAGAGGTTCCGCAGGGCTGACTGACACCTGCAGTTTTGCTCAGTTTACGTGGGTCAAAAAAACAAAAAACAAGGATGGGTCAACATCCTGTTTCTTTTTCACGTGTTAAGCTTTCACCACTCCAGCCGTGGCTCTTGGGACCCCTTAGGACTAGGGGTTACCAAACAATTCATCGAGCTCCTGCATCCACTCGTCCCCCGGCCCACCTTTGATGATGGAGTCCACGAGGTCCGCACTGTCTGTGAGCCCTGGGAAGGAAGCCCCAGTACCCTCGCCACTGTAACTGTACGACAGGTCCTGAGGGGGGTTCCGTTCATAGGGTTGGCCCTGGCTGCTTGGGGCAAAGCTGCCGCTGGGCATCTGCTGCTGTGCCGGGGGCTGGCCGAAGGCTGGCATGCTAGGGACACCCTGGTTCAGGCCGGGCATGACCATTGGCCTCGCCTGGCTGGTGCCTTGCTGCCCTGGGAGTGGTGGCATCATCTGCCGACCCATGGCAGCAGGGTTGAGGGTTCTCACTGCGCCAGTGTTAGCGTCCACCACTGACTGGCTCAGTCCCTGCGGGAAGTGCTGCTTGGTCAGTCTTGGCTGGCCAGCTTGGAGTGGGTAGCTGGTGCCATTGTTGAATGGTCCCAAGTCTCCACTAGTCCTCCCAGGCATCCCCTGCAAGCTCCTCTGTTGCCAGCTTTGTGCTCCTTGCTGGACGGTCCCTATGATGCTCTGCAGCCTTGGCGGGGCTTGGGGCCTAGGGAGGGCCTGGCCCACCGGTCCTTTCATCTGCGGGTGCTGCTGGGTGAGGGTGGGGTTCACCAGCATACTCTGGCCGAAGCCACTCACCATCCCAACTCCTTGGCCGGAAGCAGGCTGCCTCGGTCCCTGGGCTTGGCCATGTGTGATGCTCATGCCACTTTGGTTTGGGTGCTGCAACATCTGGGTCATCCCTGTGCTCATGCTGTACATTCCTGGCTGGCTGGTGGGTGTGCTGCTGTAAGGGGCCAGTCCCATCTCAGACTGGGCAGCAGCTGTGGCCATGGTCCCTGGGTTCTGGGAGGGTCCCATGCCCATCATGCCTGCGTTCTGTGCCATCAGCCGTGACGTCCGCATACTCTGGAGGGCTGCCTGGCTCCTCACGGCTGCGATGTCCTGGGGGGAGCCTAAGCGGAAAGAAGGGACACAGATCACTCACTCTTCTCCATAAGCAACACACTGTAACCTGTGCTGGACTCTTCAATGGGAGAAACATTTCTTTTTTTTTGGTACGGAGGACTGAACTTGGATCCTTGTGCTTGTGAGGCACGCGGTGGCACCACTGAGCTAAATCCCCGGCAACAACGTTTCTCTGTAGGAAAAGATCTATTCTCATGATGCAGTTTTAATAGAAACAATGATTATTTTTCTGATTATAACATGTTGATAATAAAAAATTTGTAAAGTACTGAAAGGCACACAGACAAAATTAAAGTCACCAAATCACCACTGTTCAGAGATGAGCTGTCGTGCTGCCTCTATGTCCCGAGTTGCTTACCTTTCATGGTTTACCTTCCCCTTTGGCGAAGACCCAGAAGTCACACAGATCCAGTGACTAAGATGGATAAGAACAATGTAATGTTTCTGAGCCTGCCTTTCTGTTGGATGGTGGTCAGCAGCAGCAGTCTCTGTCCTTTTGATCATAGCTTATAAAGACACTCATGAAAGAGGACTTCTTGAACAGCTAGAACAGTGGGGTAAGTGTGTTTGAAGCAATGGGGAGTATTCTGAGAGAAAGTGATGGCAACACATCTTTTTTTTTTTTTTTTTCGGTACCAGGGATTGAACTTGGGTCTTTGCGCTTGCAAGGCAGGCCACCCAACCGCTGAGCTAAATCCCCAGCAACATGTCTTTTTTGAAATTTAAACATACACCATATTTTTGATCAGCTCTTGGATAAACAGGCACACAAAAATCGGGAGCATACTGAACGTGCTTTTTGCAGTTGACTTTTCCACTTCACATACCCCAGTATTATTTTTATTTATGCTTCAGAGGCAATTTATTCCTCACTCTTTTGGCTATGATGTCATTAGCCCAAGGAGATATCATTTTCTTTGGTGGTGGGGGTGTTGAGGGGTGAAGAACCATCTGATCATCTGCATATTCTATTAGTGAAGTGGAACATGGTTCAGCAGAGAGCACTATGAACGGAAGCCATCAGACTGATTTCCCTTAAGACTTCAGTAGGATTTGAGAGGTTAAAGGCCATTACTTCTGCCTAGAAGCTGTTTTGAGAGATGAGACATTTTTTAGAGCCACTTTGTAGACTTCCTCACGCTCCAGACTCTCTGAATCATAACATGTCAGTGCAAACCAGTCAGCTTCCGTGGCTAGAAAAAGAAATCATCTTGCTAATTGGCAATACTGTAGCATTTCTGTGGTAGAGTCCACCCTGTCAAAAGTAGCAATGACCTTGTACCTCTGTCTGTAGATTACTAACATGGTGTTAACAATAATGTTTTTGTTTGTTTGTTTGTTTTGGTTTTTTGAGATGGGATCTCACTATGTAGTTGAGACTGACCTGGAGCCCACTATGTAGCCCAGGCTGGTCTCCAACTCACAGCGATCCTCCTGCCTCAGCCTCCCGTGTTGCTGGGATTACACGCATGCATCGCCACACCCGGCAACAATAATGTTTAAAAGTTTGCCAGAGTAACAATACCAAGCTGGTCAACTTCAGTGAGGTATTCGAGTGAGTCTTGCTTTACATGTCCAAGCTAGACGGAGATGGAAATGTCACTCATAGAACAACTGTCGATGCTGGAAGGGGCTAGGAGTTGCTCCAAAATGGATTTTTCTATGTCCCTGCTAAGGATTAAGTCTACGAGGAAAAGAAAAAAAAAATTTTTTTTTTTTGGGTCCTGGACATTTATCGAA